TTTTCCCTCCTACCCTATTTTTAAATATCTAATGTATGCCTACAAACTTTTCTTTAGCTTAAATACTATGACCATGCTTTGTGTGTGAAAACTTTTTGCTCATGCTAGGTTTGAATGAAGTTTAGTGGTTAAATACTATAACCATGCTTTGTGTGTGAAAACTTTTTGCTCATGCTAGGTTTGAATGAAGTTTAGTGGTTGTTAAGTACTTCAAAGCTGCAAAATGTAACTCAAACTGTTACATAAATTCTATATGCTTTTACAGCTATACAAAAGGAATGCAAAAAAATACCTTTCTAAGATGGTGATGTTTTACAATCATTTTGCAGGATAACAAAGAAAACAGTTTAAAAAACAGCTCAGAACTGTGTGGTTCAGCTGTGTTCATGAGTATGCAATTGCCATTGTTGACAAATGAGAGTTACTTGACTCAACCGCAGGCAGCATGAGGTCAAGAAATATTAATAAAATGCTTTCTTAACTGTTTATTTCTGCTTTTTTTTATATATTCTTGTTGTGACGTGACAGAGCATTTGAGGTCAACTGCCAAGTTATCAGTGGAGATGGAGTAAAGCACCTTTAAGCCTTTGCTAACACAGTACTCAACTGTGACTCAGAGAGGGTAAGTTAACTGATTATACTTAGCTTTCTCTACTATGGTAAAATGAGTCGCAGAGAGAACACACTGAAAGCCAAGGGCCTCTAAATACTTTTCCCTTTTATGGGATAGAGCTCCCAGATCACCATTTCCTGGAGATTGTACTGTAAGCCTCCACAGTGGTAAAAGAAAGTTCTCTGGATTCACTGATCTGTATCTAACTACAAATTTGAGCTTAGGGAATAATTTTTTTCCTAACTATTTTAACAATTACAAGTAAAAATGTTTAAAAGCACTCCATCCTCTCTTCTCTCCTCTATTTTCTAACTTTTTTTCTTTACATTGTCTTAGTGTGGAAATAAGCAGAATCTGGTGAATAACATAGATAATTTGTTGGGGTTTTTAAAACTCATTTTGTAGGTGCAAAACACTTGTGCAGAATAAGATTTTAGATCTTTGCCCACATCCACTCTTCTTGTGACCTGTGAGTTAATCTCAACAAGTATTTAATTTTAAAAGGCAATTTTGAAGCTCTTGCCAGACAGAGTTTGGTCAATGCCTAGCAGAAGAAATAACATAATCTTGAAATTGTCGTAGTGCTTTTGCACCTTGTCTGCTTTTAAAGTGCCAATGAATTTTTTTGTCTGTCCTTTCTGTATCTTCAGGGATAAAAATTACAGTTGTTTCAGTTGGTAATCTCACTGTATTGCGTGTACTATTAACATATTCTTTCCTTTTGTGACTGAAACATGTTTATGTGTGTGGACATGAGATAAAGCTAGCAAACCTAATGGCAGCATGATTCCAAAGGCTGTTCAGTTGGCAGATGAGCCAGGTCAAGAACCAGGATAGTCATACTCTCTGTGCTTTAGCTGAGGGTTCAGTAGGCTAGAAGATGTTGTAGATAGAGGTGTGAATTTCTGTAGGGTCCAAGGCTGTACCACTCCCTAATGCTCTATTGCAGAAGAAAAATTGTACCTTCCAGGGAAATAAGTTTTCCAAGGTTATGTCTTCCTTTTCTTCCTACACATGTGAGATGGCTACAATTTCCTCAAATTCTTGTTAGAGTATTCTCATTAATCCCCGTTTTTCTTTATGTTCTGTCTCTCACGGATATTTACTGGGGCTATTTTCATTGCTCAATCAAATAAGCATGAGGTCAGTTCAGCAGTGATTGAAGAATATTTATTTACTAGAACCTTAAGGTTCCATCATTTCTAGATCTTTGCCCTTCCTACTGGTATCAGAAGGCAGTAATTGGTACAGAAAAGGGCAAAACTCCTTGCACAACATGGAGCAACAAGATGGCTCCATTGGTTATACCCATTTGCTTTTAGAAGATGTGATGTTTGTGTTGGTTAAGCATCATAAACTCTTTAAAGGATATGGACTACTTATTTAAAGAACACTGTGCAGGTTAAAAACACGCTTTTAGATTTTAAAAAAGCAATAATTCAGGAGTTTTAAATCATATATAGCTTATTAATTGAATGATGTCCTTATATAATTTGTTGTAATACCAGTAAGCTCTTACATTGGCACCTGTAGCAGTGCAGTCAAGGTATGCAAGGACTGCATTTGTTTTAAGAAGCCTCATGATATGAATAACTATATGGAAGCTTTCACTGCTCCAGTACACTCCTCAGCAATGGGGTTTTCTGGAGAAATATTAGGAAAGAATGGAAAGTTAGAAGAAGAAATTTTCCTACTGAAAAGACTTGGAACTTTTTCTTATTTGCAAGATAGCTCTCTAAGGAAGTCAGAGTAAGGCTCTAATTGTGTCAGAAACAGACTGAACTCAGTCCACTCCAAATCTGGGGGTTGCTAAGGTGGCATAAATTCATCTTTCTACCCTCTGTTCTTCCTTGGCTGTACTTTCTGTGCTGCATTTCTAAGACAACATAGCTCAGGATTTGTCCCTTTCTATTCTTAGACAAGTCTGCTGATCTATTTTTTTTTTCTTTTAAAGTTTTCTAGCTTTTTAAATCTGAAAAATGAACCAAAACCTAATGTGCTTAATAGCACTTTCTTTTTTAAATGTGACTTGCATTGTTTTTTCAAGTTTAGTATATACTAGGAACTCAGCTAAGACCCGGGAAAAGCCTCTTGGATGCAACATACATATACATTTTATATATATATATTATATATATATTATATTATACAGTGCTGCTTAGGACTGCAAATACACTTTGGCTGTGACTTGAAACATTCCTGGATTTTCAGGCCCAGCATTCTGTTGAGTTGAGCCTATAAGAACCATTAGACGTTCATAAGGCAAACACTAAGAGGGATCAGATAAATAGCCAAATTTGTATCTTCTCTTTTTTTGTTTTTGTTTGAATTTGAGTTCTTGCAAACTCAGGAATTGCATAGGATGCCAGGATTTTATTACAGAGATGAAAAGCAAGTCCATGTCACTTTTTTTAGTTGCCTCACTTCTATCTCATCTTCCTGTGTTGTTAGCAATTGGTGACTGTTGTTTTGATACAAAAATTCCTAACTGCTGAAACACATAAATGTTTTATGCTACTGCTATCTACCTAATCTCTGTGGGTTTATTAATAGATGTAATCATAAATGTCTATTTTTCATCATATGAGGGACTTTAAAGGTACTTTGCCTTAATAACCATTTTAAAATCTTCTTTTTATTAATAGAAAGCTTCCTCAACTTTTAAGTCAGAGGTGTTCCATTTACTGCAGTAGAGCTAGATATTCAGCCAGAACAGATTCAAAATATATACAGAAGCTTTAAACATGTTGTTCCTACACCATAGGCTGCTCTGAAAAATAATTATGCTCACTGTTTCAAAAGTTTTTATCTTAATCTTCATAATTATGTATGTTGAATCTTTTTCACTGACTTTAGCAAAGAACTTCAACGAAATAATTATTTTCTTGAACACACTAATACTTGTGTAGAAGTCATTTTTACAGTCTGTTAGATCTGCGTTAAAGTTCATGTGAGGTCGCCTTGTATTCCTCTTGAAGTAAAAGGTAAATTAAGTTTCCAATATAATGTGAAATAAATTAATAAAAACATGGGTCTCAGCTGCTTCTGTAGCTCAAAAGTTTTCCCACACCCTCTAGGTTTTACAATAGAATTTTTTTCTGTGAAAAAGGTGAGGAACTTCTCACTACTGAAGCTGCTTCAGTGTTTCCTATTAATGGTTTTGCCTCTTTTTTTTTTTTTTTTTTTTTTTTTTTTTTTTTTTAAATCAATACAAGTATTTTGAAAGTTTTTATCAGCCTCAATAAACCAATGTTTCTTTGCCTTGTGGAAAGTTAATCTTACAATGCTGCTAAGTGCTTTGAGCTTCTCATCATCTCAACTTCTTTTTTCCATCTATCTTGATTTTCAGAAGGGTAAAAGAATGATGTTTTGGAGGTCTATGGGTATGTTTGTCCTTGACATATTACTGAAAGTGTTATATTACTGAGTGTAAAGCTCCATTCTGTACACAGCTGTACAGAAATTAACTGTAAAGGTCATATAGTTAGCTCGTACTAATCCAGACAGAAACTGCACCAGATTGTCTCTGATAACTGCATTGTCTGTCATCCGTAGGCACCACTGAGGAGTCGAATGATTTATTTATGAGGACTGTTCCTTAGCTGTCCGGTAGGTGTCACAGTAAATCTTGCAATACATACGCTGTAGCTGTAAGGATTAGCACTCAACATTTCTCATCTTCAGACTACAGGCCTTAATGCTAACTCGCAGTAGCTCCTGTTGATACTAATAACAAGAATTTTCTCAGCTAATAGGCAGTCATTTTTTTTTTTTCCCTACTGCTGTTTTGCTTCAGAACTGAGTTGCACAGTGTTGTCTCGTGCGGATGTAAACCAAGTCTGCACAATTCCCCCCGGGCCTTGCTCTTGTTCAAAGGAAGAGTGCCACCATCTGGGTTTCCAGTTTCACTCTTTTCTTTCAGATGTGACATCACGCTCTGTAGCATCAGGATTTTTTTACTTACTAAAAGGCATATTATAGATATGCAAGATGTAGTTTCCTTCCCAGAGGATTTTTAGAGGGTCGCTTGGTCACAGCCGAGAGTCATAGCGAGAAGGATCTGTAAAATGGAGGGAAGAGTTCAAAATAGCAACAAGAATGGAGTGCTGTCTGTTTTGAATGCATTTACTGCGTTATACGTTGAGAGCTTTAGTTAATAAAACACAAGATAGCATTTTAAATGTTAAACCTTAATACTGGTTGTTATTGTAAAGTGATTTTAGTGTTAGTGTGTAGTTTTAAATGGATTTGATTTGTATTTTTGGCATCTAACACAGCCTGCGGATCACAGTGCTTATGCTTTCAGGCCAGCTTCAAACAGATATTCTCAGCAGTGCATGATCCTGTTAGTCCACAGTGCAGTTCCACGTGCTTCACACTGTTCACCATGCCAACCTTACCTGAAGACAAGGGACAATCAAAAGAGGCACAACACAGCAGTTCTCCTCCAGCCAAAGTAAGCACTCTTACCAAAGTGTTTTCTGACACTTATGAGAAACCTGAGGCTGAAACCTGTTTGTGTGTATTTAGGAGTTCATAAAATAACTTCTAATAATTGCTAAGTACTAGTGTGTTTTGATTAATTAATGAAGCTATGAATGATCTTTCAGTAGATATTCTTAGAATTCTTCAAATATTTCACAGAGTAAGGAATGAGAACTGAAGTTGCTGAGGCACTTGTTTATCAGTTTGATCTGGAGGCTTATGTCTGTCAGTTCTGAACCGTTTAAAGCACAGCTGTCCAACAATGTCCTTTGTGATGTTACTACAGAAAACTCTAACTTCTGAGAAAAAAACTTAGACTTGTACTCCACAGTAGTCTTGAAAGATCTAGCTTTGCCTTTACAGATACAGAAGACATTGTGCAATTCACGTTAGTGTGAAAGATGGAAATCTGGTTTTTGGTTTGAGATCTTTCTCAGTGTTTTATTTGCCATAGTAGTAACTGATCATATGCTGGAACGATACAGAGAGCATAATTTTGCTACTCAAAATTGTAGCATCTATATGTTTTTACATGTTTTACTTGCAGATTAAAAAAAAAAATCATTAGGAGATTATACGTCTCCTTTTAAAATATTTTATACCACTTATAAAAAGTAATTTTATGTTCTAATAAAGTGTGTGGTGGTTTATACTTTTTAGCTTGGCTGAGGTAAATAACCTTACTGTGATTACAAAATCACAGGTTATCCAGATCTTCCTGTTTTATGCAAACTGGTGTAAAGAAACAGAGGATTTGTAATCTGGCACATCCTCATTTAAAAATGTATCACTGTCACTGGTTTTGAGGACACTGTATTCTACACTTTAGGTGAAAACATCCGCTACTTTAATATTGCTGGAAAATAGTGTCAGCAGTGAGCTCTACACTGATTTGTCATGCATTCCATCTAAATTGCACATCGTGCTGAGTGTTAGTTTCCTGGCTTAAGATAAACACCCCAGATGGATGCAAGTTCATTGGACTATTAGCTGAGAACATATATTAGTTAAAGTAGATTTTGTGGGGGTTTTTTTTAACTCCCCATGTGAAAAGTATTTTAATACAAAAGACTTGCTGTGTAAAACATATCTGAAAAGAAAAAATACAAAAAGCTCGATGACATTAATGAATCTAATCCTGAACATGCATGTCAAATTGGAAATACGAAGAACTCCAACCACCTAACATGAAAAAAAAAAATTAATATATATAATGCAGAACTTTTAGAGGCAGGTCTTAAATGAGCTATACTTTGATAGTTCCAAATCAGTTCACTGTGAAATGTTTTGGTTTAGGTATGTTGTTCTTTTTAGGCACAAAGTAACAGTGGAAGGATTTTAACCAACTCACTGCTCATGAGCCCACTTCAGTTAAGGGTTGCAACCAGCCAATGTTCTGAGAATTTGATCTTTTCATGCCTCTTATGACTCTTGGGTCTTGCTGCAGTCCAGTTGTACAGCACGACTATGTAATAAGTAAAAGAGCTTATCAATATGAGATAAGGACTTGCAAGCAAGGAGAGGGCATCGGGAGGAACTAAAAACTGGTGGACTTTTCTGTTTTCTGCTATTGAAAAACACTTTCCAAGTCTGGAATCTCATCTTAGCCAAAGTGCTATCTGGTGTCTAACAATTTTCTCATTCTGTTTCAGGACATGCTCCCCCACCTTTTTCTTGCATGCACAAATGCACACACATTCACAAAACAGCTCTGAGAAAAAAAGAATGAATCTTATATCTCATGTTATTTCTTGCCTACTTTAAGTACCTTTTATAGGTTGGGAAGACCTGGGTTATATTTCTCAAATTCATTTTGAGAAAACAAATATGGTTTTCCATTTTAGTATTTCTTATGGCAGCCTGTGTTCACCATTCTGACTAACTCTAAACAACATTCAACAAAGTGTTCACTGGCATTCAGTTCCTGAGGAAAGTAGATGTAAAATTCCCATTAACACAGGTGTGAGGGCAGTTGGCTTAGTTCAGAGAACTTTAGCCACTTGTTTGAAATATTGTCTGAATTAAGATTATGTAGTTAAGTTCTTAGTTTTTTGTGCTGACTCTTAAAAAATTACTTTAGGTTTTTAGTGTCAAAAATGTAATTTCTCTGTATATAATGCATAACTGTTGCAAAGAAAATTGAATCCATACCAGTTATGTTAAGATTTATAGTAGCCAATATATCTCCCTACACTTTCAGTGTTGGTTGTGAGCTACCATCTTTCCCTTTTTTTTACAGAAAAATAAAAATCCCTATTTCTATTTCCAGCTTTCTTCTGGTTTTGTATCCTGAACACTATTTTACTTGCTCTTCTGACTGCTGAGGAAAAGTCTCTCAAATGTTTGTAATGTTTCTTGTACACTGATTATTCCATCATTCAAGCTTCCACATTTCTTTTTTTATATAATTCCTATTTAAATTTGTATTTTACTTTTATAAAGTCACTGCACGTTATCTGTTTTGTTCCGAAGATGACCCATGTTTCCTTTGTTCTTCTGCCTGTTTCAACTAGTTGCAACTGCAATCCAATTTCCTTACCTTACTTGCTAAACTCTAAGCTCACCACTTTACTTAAATATGTAAATTAAGCTTATTTAAAACCTCATCTCACTCAAAAGACTGCTCCCTGAGACGTATAACTTTTCTGAGGCCTTTCACATACCTGTCTGTTTCAGGCCAAATTTGTTCTGAAATTCAGTCCAGACCTTTAATTAATTTCTAAGATCATAGGCAGGTGACAGAGGATTTGTTTTTCCCCTCCAGTGCTTTAAAGAATTCAGGTGGTATACAGTAAAGCTTTATCATCTGACTGCCCTGGCAGGATAGCTCTTTTAGTAGAGAGAGATTTTTTTTTTCTCCCATTACTGTTCAAATCCACCCAAATTTTGCTGGATTATAAAACTTCTAAAACCACATTTTCTGTATACCTAGTGGTAGAGCTTAACAGCCATAGTACCTGCAGATCCTACCCATCCTGAGTATCCCTGAGCCTCTTGGATCTTCTGTTAGAGACCAAACTGCATGTGCCATCCTCTCAGCCCTGCACAAGCCTCCCTGCAAGACTAGATGACACACAGTTATCCTCCCAGAGCATGTGAGGCAGTTCCCAACTAAGCCGAAGAGGTGGAGTCAGTTTTACCTTACATTTTAATGGGAGTAGGGCTTGAGCAAAAAAGAAGCAAAGGCCTAGTAGCAGGTAGTCATTGGTACTAGGAGAGGAAGCAGCTGTTGGGAATGTCTGAAGAGTGGATGTGCTTGGAAGCTAACACAGAGAGGACAGTTACAGGCAGGCAGTGGGAGTGTGGTGGAAAACTTCTGTATCATGTTTGTGTAGATGTACAACTATGAGATAACTTCAGCTTCCTGTTAAAGCTTCTCATCCAAGATATGCAAGTAGCAGCCTGAGTACTCTTCCGAGTATCAAGATTTCTTTTGATTCAAGCCAGCTGGCCCTGCAAACAACTTCATGTTCTAGCTTTTCCTGCTCCTCTCCTGTACAAATGTGCAATAGGTTTGGACAAGGGGAGGTGGGAAGTTTCACCTGTGTAAGAGTTGAACTGCTCTAGCTGCTGACCAAGATTAATGTGTTCTACCTGACCTGAACTAGCCTGTGCTACAGCTTTTTTTTTTTTTTTTTTTTTTTTTTTTTTTTTTTTTTTAAATACTTTTTTTTCTACCTGACCTGAACTAGCCTGTGCTACAGCTTTTTTTTTTTTTTTTTAAATAAGCTGCTTTAGAGTCCTGAAATGGACTGGAGTGACTCTAGGGCTGATGTTGCGTCATTCAAGAGCTTTTGCTCTTTGTCAGTCATGAGATTAGTATAAACAGTGCACATGTGTACTCAGCTGCTTTGCCCCATCAGCAAGGCAGTCACCTGAATTCTTCTCATTGACTGTTAGACTAAGTACATTGTTACTTAGTAATGTTTTCAAGAATATTACTAAAACTTGCTTTCATACAATATCAGTTGCGTGCTTGAATCTCAAATAGATCATGCCTTTACATTCTAACATTTCCAATATTACAAGGATATTTTTCTTAAATGTGTATCTTCATGTTATATTCTTGGCATGTTTCCCATTCTGCTTTCCTGTGACTGGCAATTTGAATCTGCCAAGGAATGTTGTATGTAAATTATGAGTATAGAAATATGGAGCTGCATGGAATGTATTTATTTTAGTACACAAAAAATGTTATTTGCATCAGAATCAAGAACCCTAAATGAGATATCATTTTATTGACTTTGAGAGCAAGAGGGCTTCTGCTATATACTTTAGTACACTGTTTTCAAAATGCTTCTAGAGTTCCTTTTATTAATCAGAAAATATTATTTCAACAAGAATGAAATGCAGCAGTGGGAGAGTTCTGTAGTATCTGATAGATTTTAGCAGTCATGTAAGTGTTAGGTTTCTTGGATGCTTGTTTATTGTAACAAACCTTATGACTATGCTAATTTCTCCACAGGACAGCAGATGACTGAAACAATCATTCATTGACATTCATTAATTAATGTTACTAAAATAAATGTTAGTCTGAATTAATTACAGATGTCACCTCTAGTAGGTAAAAATTCTTAAAAGTAGTAAGGAAAATTGACAGCAAATGTTATTTCAATAAAAGCAAAATTATAACAGTTGAATGTAATTGGCTTGAACAGCAAACACGATCTTTTAGAAATTTCAGAAGCTTTGCTTCCTAGAGAGGTGTTTGATGCCCCAGGCCTGTCAGTGTTCAAGAGGCACTTGAGCAATACCTTTAATAACATGCTTTCAGTTTTGGCCAACCCTGAAGGGGTCAGGCAGTTGGACTAGATGGTCAGTGTTAGTCCCTTCCAACTGAAAATGTTCCATTCTGTTCTATTACTAATCCCATGCCAACTGAAGTAAAAATTTCTTATAACTTTAGGATGCAGTTTCAAGAAAAGTTTAGACTCCAAATAGCAAAAAAAATTAAAATATTTCTACATACCAGTGCATAGCATAAACAATTAGAATTTGAGAATTTAAAATTATGCCTCACATTTTGCAAGTCAGTTGATGGCACTCCCCCCCTGCCACTTTCAGGAAGCTTTCCCTGCAGCTAATAAATATTTATACTGCTCTGATGTATTCTATTTCTCTCTTGATTGTTTTCTAAAATAAAAAATGCAGCTTTTAACAGGTGTCTACACTTTCCACCCTCTGCGTGATTTTATGTGAATCACTTTTCCCAAAACCAAATTGCTTATGTAGCCTTTCAAAAGGACAGAGGTGGTTGGTTTTTTTGGGGGTGTGTGTGAATCTGAATGTGGTGCATGGGGAAGAGTAATAATTTTTTGCTACATATGAGAAATCCACAGTTCATTTTTCCAATTTGCTGCATCTCTGTTTGGAATAGCACAGTAAACAGATTCCTTTGTCTTCAGCTGTTTGGCATCATTGTGGAAGAAGGTGTGGGATTTAAGTTCTTGGGACAAGTTCTTGTATTTTCTTAAGAATGCAAGCATGCATTGATACTGAGTACCAGTTTATTTGTTGCTTAAAGATTATATTGTGTATTATTAAATATAGCACTTCTATTTTTAAAAAAATATTTTTCCAGTTAGTGGGAGAGAAAACCAAGTAGAACACTAACAAGATAATCTTATAATTATTTTCTGGTATTTTGAATAGCATGTGTACACTTAATACTGGTATATGTACTTCAGTAAAGGAATGGTTTGCTTTGTGAAAAATCAGTTTGTCTACCATTTTAAAGCATTCTCGTTAGTTCCATGCTCACTGAATTTAGCTTGTGTGCATTAAAAATTTGTTAAGAAAACAGAAAATTCCAGGTGTCCATCATCTCTTTTTAGCCATTTAAGTCTAGACCTCTGATTCATATTTATTTTATCATTAGTTCAGTCATATTTTCTTTTAGCTAAACTGGGCAATACACAGTATCTTCCACATAGACTGTCAGTATTCAGTGTTTTGAATTTCTTTTTAACTACATTTTTATATTTGTCACAAACCATTCAGGACACTACTGTTGAAGGGACAGCATGCAGTACTCCTTCTATTGTTCTTCCAGAGAATGCTGTTACGCCAGATGTAGAAATTGATAAAAATCTGGTTAACAGGTACTATATAATACATTAACAATCTATGCATAAATTGTACAGTAATTCCAGGAGCTGTGTTTTAAAATATTGCTTTGAAATTTATCTTGTGTTAAAATATTATTGCTGTATATCTCTTTGTAATTTAATCATATTGTCTTTGCATTTTGGGAGGGGACACAGGAATATAATTGATACTAAAAGAGTAGATTTTCTTATAATACTGGGCCTGCCAACCTGAGTCAGTATACTTTAAGTTTAGATTAACTTTCTTGTCTTTTAGAATAGCATAATTTAAAACTACAAAAAAAAATTTCAATTAAGGTTTTACATAATTTGAAATAAAAGGTGTACCTTTTGAAATCCATCCAAGCTAGCAAATAAAATATGGCCCGATGAGGAAAAGATTACTTGGCCAAACCCTTCTGTAGACATACAGGGAGGGGGAGTGTGTGTTACAATCCTCCACCTGCTACAAGGATGACTGACAGTTGAATTCCTCTCCCTCTGTGCATGGCAATGTACAGTATTGTCCTTCTGTACAAATTTGAACCTTTACTTAGACCCAGTCAATGAGTTGAGACTGAAGAAAGTATACTTGAGCACTTTTGTGTTTCCTGAAGTTTTATTCCCATGGAAATTCAATTTGGTAGCTAAATCCCTACATCAGGTTTACTAATTATATAGATGCACCAGTTGTGCTTCCTTTCATTATATAAATATTTCCACTGAACCAATGAGAACTTTGTAGACTGATGTAGAGTTAGGAAATTAATCCTTATAAGATTTGTTTTTTAATTACTGGTTTAAAAATACTAAAAATGTAACTTCCTCAAGGTATGTTCAGCCATCAGTGTTAAGTCTTACAAATGAGTGTATTTTATGTACAAAGCCTGTGTTGTCTGTGTTCCCTTCTTAAAGAACTGGCTATGTTACCATCTCATTACAATATTCTTAGAATCATGCTGTAAAACAGACATTGTAGTAATAACATTTGCAATCTGTTGTAATTATTTTGCCTATGGAAAGGAAAATGCAGCAACAAACTATGTTGCTCTTAAAAACAATCCCTTTGTATGATCTTTAAATTACTGAAGTGTGTTTTAAAGAAGAAGGAAGGGTTTTAGCAAAAGGTGGGCCTAGAATATATGACAGTCTGCATAATAAAGCTTATTTGTGAGGGCAGAACATTTCCAAGAAAGGCCTATGAAAAATACTATGCAATTTTTACCAACAGTTTTTGCAAGTATTGTATTTAGTTTTGTATACTTCACATTTTATAGTTTTATGAACTGCAGAAAATGCTTCTTCTTTTGACAGGTTTAATGTATTACATATAATTTTCAGAATAAATCTACCTTCCAGTCTTGTGCATGTTATCTTGGTATTGACTTAAAAGACATATTATTTTATATAACTTAAGGTGATGCTGATGAAGCTACTTTTATTGCATATTGTTTCTTTCCTTACAAAAAATTGTTGGTAGTCTGACACTGCTGGCTAACTTTGTTTCATAAGACAATATTCTGAGGTATTAGGACATCATTGTATTATTAGCCAGCATCTTTATAATTTTCTTCTAAATCCAATTAAAATATGCTCAGTTCTTTTTAAGTCCTAAGTTGAAAACATTGGAAATTGAGCTAATGGACCTTTTTTTTCTGCCTGAAGAAAAATTGCAACAAGTGTAGGCCACTCTTCCACCTCTCTGCCTTCCCTTCCTTCCTTGCATCTGTTCAGTCCTCCTTGCTGTTTTGGTGAAGCTGTGAAAGAAACTTTTGTAGCACCCAGAAACTGGGATAGGACCACATTCCTGAGCTGGTGAAATATAATAAGTATCAGTTGAAAATTTGAGTAGATAATGTTTCAAGGCTAGATACTTGGACAACTTAAATACCTAGCTTGAGTGCACCTTTTGTTTTCTTTTTTCTTTTTTCTTTTTTTTTTTAATAAAAGAAAAATACTTTCTTTTAATATTAACTTTTTAAAGAGAAGTAGAACTTTGTTTTGGATGCTACTCCCATAATTTTTATGTGTTCGTTTTTCTCTCTAGGCCCCGTAGTCCTCATAGAAGACATTCTAACCGTGCCTCTAGGAATTCAACAAGTTCATTGACTTCTGTTGGTAAGAAGTGATTATTCATTTAAGCTAGGATGTTTTCACAGAAAATGTGGCATGCAGTGAAGACCTACATTTTGAGTTTGACTGTATTGACTACAGCTTTTTTTCCTGTGTTTACTGTCTGCAATGCATGCACAGGAAATACTGCTAGCATGTTGAATTGTTATTGTGAGTTTATGATCCTGAGTGGATTGCATGCAGACAGAGCCAGGGAAGTACGTTGATTGTTAGTTTCATAAAGTCAATAGATTAGTGTGTCAGCTTAACATTTCAAGAAGGCTGGAGATATAGAGACATACATGCTTAAAATTCTTGTTGTACACAAAACACTGTTCATTAGTACTGGTCTTGTTACTTTTGAAGGGCTGGAAATTTTTAGCAAGGAGCTTAACATACTTTTGAGGCCACACCTGTTGTATCGCGTCCATTTTGGGCACCTCAATTCAAGAGAGACATTGAGGTGCTGGAGCAAGGACAGAGGAGGGCAATGAAGCTGGTGAAGGGCCTAGAGAATAAATCTTATGAAGAACACTTGAAGGAGCTGGGGATGTTTAGTTTGAGAAAGAGGAGGCTGAGGGGAGACCTCATCAGTCTCTACAACTACCTGAAAGGTTGTTGTAGAAAGGTTGGTGCTGGTCTCTTTTCACAGGTAATTAGCGACAGAACAAGAGGGAATGGCTTCAAGCTGCAACAGGGGAGGTTTACTGGACATTAGGAAAAAAATTTTCACAGAAAGAGTGGTTGGACACTGGAACAGGCTGCCCAGGGAAGTGGTTGGGTCACCATTCCTGGATGTGTTTAAGAGTCATTTGGGTGTGGTGTTGGTGGATATGGTTTAGGGAGGAACTTTGTAGCATAGGGATGATGTTGGACTCAGTGATCCCAAGGGTCTTTTCCAATCTGAATAGTTCTATTATTCTATGATTCTATAATTTAAGCCTTAAGTGTTTTAGTTTGATTGTCGTATCAGATTAAACTTCAAGCAAGCTGTCCAGGGGATTATTTTCTTCATTGCTTCACTTCCCAATGAGATTCTTGCTACATAATTACTTATTCTAGTGACTATGTGGTTAGTCATATGCTCCTCAGATATTAGCAAAAGGAGAGAGTTCTCTGGAAGACGCAAACCTTTCCAGATGTCATTTTGCAGAATACAGAGCTTCAAGCCTGCTTTCTGTTCCAACTGCTGCAGTTGACCTTTGGCTGTGTCTTGGAACCCACTCAAGCAACTGAGTTCTGCTTTCCATTTTTATCAATGAACTGGAGGATGGAGTGCAGTCTCATCAAATTAGCAGATGAAATCAAATTGGGGGAGATTAATTCATATAGGTTGAGGGCAGTGCTGCAATTCAAAGAGACCTAGACAGGCTGGAGGAATGAGCCAGTAGGAACTTTATGAAATTCAGCAATATGCATGGAAAAACTAAGTCTATAGCAGAAATGTTGTGACTGCTAGTTCAAATTGATCTAATGCCACTTTTACAGATAAATCAGAAAAACTATACTGGGGACACAGCCAGAAAAGCCAGTTTCACATATCAGAGCATCTTTGATCATAATGACTTAATCTTAGTGAGTTACCTGGGGTTTTGAGGACTTGCAGACATGAATGTTTGTTAAATGCAAACTCAAAGCTAAATTTATAGATATGTTTTGTACTTGTTATGCTGAAATACCACAACCTATCTGGAAATATGTGGTACAGATCTAATTCTGACATTTTCCACCCAGACAACAGCGGTCATGTGATTGATCTGGTAAATGATCAGCTACCAGATGTCAAAATATCAGAGGAAGACAAAAAGAAGAATCTTGAATTGCTAGAAGAAGCAAAGAAAGTGAGTGAGAGGTTTCTAACACGCAGAGGCAGAAAGTCGAGAAGCAGCCTTCCGGAGTCACCCACAGGTAAGCGTAGGATCCTGAATTCAAAATTTTATATTCCACTTCAAAGATCTGCAAAGGCACAATCAAGCCATCTACTGTAATGCATACATTGCTACTGTATACACACACTTTGTTAATTTGAAGGTCAGAATCCCTCTGTGCCTCCCCACAATTCCATATCAGTGTCTATATGCAGATATAAGAGTGGAGGATGGTGTAAACTTTTTAAGTGCCTGAATGGCACACTCCAAATAGGAGTAATTTCCTATTACTGCCATAATTGAAAAGCATGAAGTATGTGTATTGGAATCTAAAAAAAGGTCACAAATTTCTGTTTGTGCATATTTTCTTCCTAATGTTCCTGTGGAACATAAAATGAAATTGTAATGGCAAGATTCAGACTGCTGAACATTCCCGCAGAATTATAATTACAAAGATTTTTATTCTGAACATAGTCGTAAACTAAGCTAAATTGACCAGAATCTACTTTAAAATCAGCAGACTAAAATATAATATCAATTGAAATTACTTTTTCCCCTCATATGAAGTGTTTGAAAACTAGGACAAAAGACCAATTCAAGATAAAGTTATGTCTTAAAATCGACTTGACAATTTACGGAAGATAAAAAAACCTATACTTTTTAATTTAAACTTTCCTTTTTTTTTTCCAAAATTCCTTGTGAATCACTCTCTTGTGTCTACTTCCCTGCAATACTTACATATTAGAAAACTGAGAATAAGTATTTTGTATATCAACAGAATTGTATTAATTTATGGCAGGTATATGAGAGAAAACCTGCTCTAAGTTCCTAATTACTGAGTAAAACTTGGCAGTTAAAACAACTTGCCAGGTTCTGGACAAGCACATGACTGATGATTATTTAATTCATGTTTTGATCTTATCTGAATTTTAAAAATTCAGAAGCTATAAGTCTAGAAACTAAATTACCTTTTCTTTTTCTTTTTTTTTTTGGTCGTTGTTTTAATGAAGCAGTTTCACCTACACTTAGTCCTAAAGTTTCACCAGTAGCATCTCGGAACAACTCTCTCACTCTTCCAGTTCCATCAGGTAAAATAATCTATGTAGGCTTGAACTTTGACTTATAAAAGCTCACCAAAAATGTACTTTTAGTATCTCTTGAGCAGAAGTAAAATCTGTAGATTCAAGCATCTAATGAATGCCCATAATATATACTTTAAACTTTTTTTTTTTTAAGTTATATCTGTATTCCTGTGTTACATGCTCTGTTTCTTTATTCTTTTCAATAATGGAGTTTTGAGAAGCTTTAACGATCTTTCACTATCTTACTATTTTAAATCATTTTTATCCCTTTTAAATAGTACTTTCCACATTTAAATTTTGTCCTTATATTACGTGGAACTGTGCATGTATGTGTTTGCTAATGTTGTAGTAGTAGAAATGTTGAGCAAAACATCAGAGTATGCCCTTATTTTGTGTGTGTCTTCCTAGGGTCTGATGTATGCACAACCACTGGTGTTGAGTCTGTATCTCCAGGGCAGGTAAGAAGAGCTGAATAGTGTGCACAGTAACCTGGTTATTACTGTACTGTATTATATTATGCTGTCCTATTAGTCCATGAGACAAATGGGATGTTTTGAATACCATTTTATATACCAGGATTGTATTATTAATTTGTTTCTTCTGCAAAAAGAGCGAGGGACTAATACATGTTAACTCTGAAGATAAAGATCCATGAGCTAACAAATGCTGAAGGATTGTAGAGATCTGTTAAGTGCAGAAAATGGAAAAAGATCCAAAATAGTCTTCTTTTATGGAAAAAAAATAATCCCTAAACGTACTTCATAAATTAATGGGACAGTGTAAAAACTAGGATTTCACAGTTCATCCATAATATCTGTATCTAACATTTGCAACATAGATGTGAAAGATAAACATGTAAGGCAAGTTTTTTCTTCCTTTTTTGCTAGAACAACAGAACTGTGAAAGAGGATGACAGGCAAACTGCAGAGGTAAGTGTTTTACAGCAAGCGTTGAATAAAATCTGCCTGTCTTAGCACAAGTATGACTGTTATTTATATGACTTCAAAGGCTAAAAGACTGTTCACATAGGAAAAATTAAAATGATACTGCTCTGAGAAATTGTGAAGCACTTGCAAATGTAGTGGAAGACAATGAGCTGGCCTTTACATCCTGTCCATGCACCCTGCTCTAGTTCAGTTAAAATCAATACACTAAATAACTTTGTAAGTAAAATTAAAATGTTTGCTATAGCCACTTTGGTGTATGCTGGTGGTTTAGACAGATATCCTCCTCCAGACCCCTTTGATTCAGTGGAAGAGGTTACTGTACTGTATGTACCTCATGTTCCCCACCACCGATGGGATATTACTGCTCCACACAAATATTGCTGGAGTAGTTTATATAAATGCTTCCTAATTTGTTTTAGATAACATCAGGTGGCTCTTTAAAGAGATCATGCTGTAAGAAGATTAGGCAATACAAAAAAACAGTATGGCAGCAGAATTTTGTAGCAGTAACCACAAAGGAGAGGCTCAGTAGCATACCTAAGGCAGAGCCAACAGTTAGTTTGTATGTTGGTTGCCTTAACTTGCTGACACAGGTGCCCTTAGACAAAACACATATTCTGTATCAAAGTAGTCAAGGATTAGGCACACATTCTTCTGCCAGTTCTCCTGAAGAGATTGCAGCCAAATTATAATCTACAGTATTGCACACGAAGTGAGAAGAGGTAAATTACGATATGTGCTTTAACTTTGTGTACAACCTCATTTTTTTTCCCTTGGGAGGTGAGAGACTAATGGAGAACAATTAAAGCAAAGTAACAGAGCTGTAAGATACAGGGCTAAAGTTGTATACTCAGACAAACCTTACATCAAGATGATTAAAAACTTGGCTGTATGAGGGTATCTATAATGGATTCTGGAGTGGGAGGAGGTTATCTCAAAAGTTCAGATAAGAGATTCCCAATTCAGTGTTCTTTCAAGTGTCTTTTAAAAATTATTTCTCTCTTCAGCAGCACACATTTAAAAGCAAGTGTCCCTGAAACAGAAGTGGCAATCTGCACCTGTTTTTCTCTGTTTTATGTGTGTCCCTCTACTTTCAGAATGCCACAAAAGAATTAATTGATCGAAGGCAGCATGATCAAAGAAAGATTTCTCAGGGAAGGTTGGTTCCTCGTTCTGCTGGTTTTGAAAACTCCAAAGAAAAGCTGTCAGAACAAAAAGAAAACTTTGATCCACGTAAACATATGGATACTTCACCAAAATCCTCCCCCTCAGGTAGTGATGGTGGCAGAATGTCTCTTAACACTTGCATGAATGTTTGTGAAAATGAACTTGGAAAATCATTCCTCAAGAAAGGAAAAGAAAATGATATTCCTTTAAAAACCCATCTACCAGGACCAGGAATAGGAAATACAGACTCAAAGCTAAAAATTCCTGTTCCAGAAATGAGGGACCATAAAGTTTTATGTAAACCAGAATTTAAATTGTGTGGACTGCGTCCTCCTCTGCTGAGGGCTGTATCATGGGATAGCTTGGAGCCTGGACAGAAAGATAAAACGCCTTTAAAATTACCATCTGAGGAAGATAAAAGCTTTGGTTTTGGAAGTAAATCGAGCAATCAATTAAAAGCATTCAAAGACCTTCAAATCCAAGTGCAACCAGTTCGAATGCAGAAATTGACAAAGCTCAGAGAGGTGAGTGTTAGTTATCAGTTGTATCATGTTTTGAAGTTATTTTCATATCTTACTAAACTTTCAACTTCCTTTGCATGATTTTTATCATGATTTTAACATACAGTAATATAATGGGAAACAGTTTCATCAAAATCAGCACAGATTTCTATCGTGTTTTTCCTTTGCAACTTTAGTAAATTGTAGCCTGTAACTAACTTCTGTTGAATTATTCTATTTCTTAATTCTCTTCAAATATATATCAACTGTACTGTGGTATCTTCAATATGGACATATTCATGTGCATGTGCTTTTGCACATGCAGGTTCTACCCCCAGAAAAAATTGTAATACTGCTGTCAAGAAAGTACTAATTGCTTTCATTGTGACTGAAAGGTAAGTCTAAAACACAGTGTCTCTCATTTTTGTGTCATTTACGTGACCTATGAATAGGAAGCATTTGATTAACAATAACGACATTAGTGAAACCTACTTGAGACTAAAATTATCTATTTTGATTTCTAAAGAGAATTTTAGATCTGAAGAATCTTTCTTTCCTCAGCATGTAACAACATTGTCTTTAAAAGGGTCACTTATGCTCTTTTACTTCCTTTGCTTCCCTGTGCTTTGCTTTTCAGCTCCTTCAGAATTGTCCCAAGTAGCAAACTCTCATATAGCTGATTTTCTGAATTTTCTCTCCTTTCTGGGAGACTTGCTAATTACTGTAGCTACATTCAAAATTGGTATTCTTCCTCTTATTTACTGAAACTCTTATTTACGAAACTCAATTTTTCTGCTTGAGTATTGGACATAGATTGCAAGTATCTATTTGTATGACCAGGAGTTTTTATAAATTATGCATGTATGAAATTTGAAAGATGTAATCTTTAAGAGTGTGTGTGTGAATGTGCATGTATCCATGAAATGTTACATCTGACTCAAACAATATAAATATCTCCATTACATTTATTAACTAAAGTGAATGTTATATTTAGTGTTCGCATGGCAGGGATATTTGAATTGAGATTTCTAGTTAAGTTACTTAGAAATGTTACTGTTTTTCTTAACAGGAGCATATTTTGATGAGAAATCAAAATTTAGTTGGACTTAAACTTCCTGAACTTAGTGAAGCAGCTGAACAGGAAAAAGGTGCAGTATCATAAAATATGGAAGGAGTGTTTGTTATACACTGATTTTTTTAATTTACTAATATGGAAGGGGGGGGAAGTATTTTTCTTCAATTGCAATAATAGCTGTAATGAAGGAATCACAGAGGAGGGTAGTAAATACTGGAAGTACCTGCATACCTTTATGATCTGAGCCACGAAGACACTGTCACTGTAGGTGTTACTGCAACCAAATGAAAAGAGGCATATCTGTAACAGAGCCTAGCTTGTCATTAGTAGATGGAGGGTGGTCTCGAGTTTCAGTCACTTTCTGAAAAAGAGTTTCAGCAGTGATGGATTAAATGGATGTGACCTCTGCAACATATTGTGGCCATAAGGGTAAATTTGATCCTTGAAAGTATAAATAAGAGATAGAATGCTTTATTCCTGCTTTTTACTTTAGTATATGTGTGGAGAATATTGAAATGGCACATTCACTTCTGCTCTACAGCTCTGTGTCAATGTGGATAAGTAAGAGTAAGGCTGGAGAAGAGATTGTGATTGAAGGACTGGGAAAAATATGCCTTACAATAAGTGGCAATTTTTTTAGCTCAATTTGTATGATTTTTAATAAGGGAAAGGCTTAACATTCTACATAAATGAGGAAACAGAAATCTGTCACCAAGTTCTTTTCCAGTCTAGCACAAGCAAATGAGACTTGATGCCTGTAAGTGGGATCTAACAGAGTCAGAATAGAATTGAAAGAGTAAAGATACAATCCTGAGGACAATTCAGCAACTGGAAAAAATAAATGTTAGTAGTGCTGAGTGATCAATTGAAACTATTTAAGCTAAAATTGTGTATTTGTTTGGAAATAGTTAAGTCATAACTCTATATTTGCTTTAGAACTGTTTTGTAAGGCCTTCATTTCTGTCACATAGGGAGATGGCTGAGATAATATATTTTCATATTATCTCTGAGATAATATATTTTCATATTATCTCTGGGAACAGACTTATCCTCAGTCTAAATGAAACAAGATAAAAAGCGACTTCTTGTCCCCTTTCAGTAGTTAGTGATTATATCTTTGGATTCTTAGAGATGGTAATGTTATTCCTGTCATTCTACAAATATAACATTTCCTAGAAATTATTTAGCAAGCTCTGTTTGAAAGTGTAAAATAGTTGCCATTTTAAAAGCCTGTTACATAATTTTGGCAGATTTGAAACTTTTGAGGAAAACATTATGAGAAGGTAAGCATTATTTTATCCAGCTTTTCAACCAAGATGTCATGAGCATCACAACCTTTTTAAAGTCTACTGACTTACCTAAATGATAGGCAGATCATTAAGGGTCAATTCCTTGTCCTTGGTGGGCAAAACAAGTGAGGGGTCAAATCCTTAGCTCATTTGTTAGGGACACTTACTTCCTTACATTGTCATAAAATCCAACATGTGCTTTTTAACTGGAGTAGTAATTTTGCTAAAACAATAGGAAATAGCCAGCTACTTCACTACTACTGTTGTGAATCAAATATACTGGCTCCATCGTGTTTTGCTATCAATGCCAAGTTATTGTGATCATCTTAGTAAACACAACTTTGCATCTACAGAAGTTTAGATAAGTGTGATATATGGGGTGCAGACATTATGGTGTCTGGCTGGCTTTTTATGGGGACACATGACTGTTCTTTAATAAATACTGGAATTCTTAAATATAAAGAAATTGCACAGAACCAAAGTGTTGCTAGAAAGAATCTCCCATTCTGTCCTG